TTAAAATAATATCTATATATACCTATATAATAAAAAGTTAATCAGTTCTCTTGCGTATGTTATTACTCACAGCTGTCAAAAATTCCTCAATAGTTATACCTTATACCTAACTGTAACCTAGGATGTACAATTATTATATTATATAAGTAAACTTTGCAAACTCGACAAAGCAAACTTTGGGGATTTTTTTCCGGGGGTTTTTTTCCTGTGGATTTTTTTTTCCGAGTACCAATATACAGGTGGTCTACACTAAAATAAAATATACTAAAACATTTATGTATAATAAAATATATTATTATAAGACGTACTATCTGCAGATCGCAGATGTGTTATGTCTAATACTAACCATTGAATACCTTATAGTTTTAATTATTAATAATATCATTGATTATAAACACTAATCAATGATAATATCATACAGTATTATAGATAGATAATATGAATATATCAGGGTCGAACGCAGGAAAAAATTCGGGGGGGGGGAGGGGTTGAAAAAATTTAAAGTAGGTATTCATAAATATCATATTGTTCATACTTATATAAAATTTGTCAATTCAATTTAAATTATAAAACAAGATCTATACGTCTCGGTTTTTTTGCCATTGTATCAATGACCTCTTCACAAGTGACTTCCACGTCTCTGTATAAGTTTAATAGCATCAATCCATTTAATCGCTCCTCACCAGTCTTGTTGCGCAGATATGTTTTCAATCTTCGAAGACAAGAAAAAGACCGTTCACTTGTTATTACCACGGAAACRGGTARAGTTGAACCAATCTGCAAAAAGGTGTGTATTGATAGATACAATGCAGAATTATATTACAATTGTTGAGAGTCTCAATAAATGTTTTCGGCCGTTTATCTTTTGACATATTTAAACAATGTCTGAAACTACAATGAATTTTATGTTTTAATATAGATCCCAAACAATATTTTTGTGTATGAGAAATTAAATATTTTGTTACCTGTGCCACATGGCCATCTCAGCTATAAAATCATCAGTAGATCCCTTGATGTCATATAATATTATATTATTATATAATAATGTCTCAATAGGACACTACAATTGTATATCATGTTAAAAACGAATCTGTATCAAACATAACTGATACCCAGCTTGTTTTATTTTATAACATAAAACATAAAGATAGATTTTAGTTTACCTATTATAAATTATTTATAACATAGAATATAGATAGTTAAMAAAATGTCAAAAACTCACATTACGATTTGTGTCAGATTATGACATCTCGGGTTTTCGTCTTTTTATTGGTGGACTGCCTACGGACGAATTATCTGAATCTACATCAATGGAAACATTCGAAAGAATACATAGACACGATTTTTTTTTATAAGCATTTAAAGTTCAAATTTTGACTAAATACGTAAAAATTACGGCAATGTTCAGATTATCTTAGATAGAAATTCATAAAAAAATTTCCTTTTAAATCTAAGATTTGAAAATTTTTACTAATCTTTAATAAATGATATTATCCTAGAGTCCTATAGACAGATAAACCGTCTCCGCTCAGAATCGTTTTTCGTATACAATGATATAATATCACTGGATTCAAATTTAATTCATCCATTACAGTAATAACCCACTTGTAACCTATACTGTACAACAGAGCAACATCCACGACTTAACCGCTTTTTTTAAAGCTGGTTTTCTGTAGCTTTCGACTTAGATTTGCGCATGATATACAGTGTACAACTAAATAAGTTGTTTTTTTGTTGCCAGGTTGTATAAAATTAGTTCATGATGTTTATTATTATATTCATATATTATATGAGAGTACATGCTTCACAGTTTCACACATCTGTACAATATATACAACCTTTGGAGCAACAATATAGCATGTAAGATGTGCTCATATCGATTGATTTTTTTGTATAGACGTCAACTGTTATAATAAGTCCATTCGTCCATGGCAATAATTAAAGCCAAAAGGTTTAAATTAAGAAATGCAATTTCTATTATATCATAATATAATATGGTGACAGGCTATATAATATGAAATATGAATTAATAACTGAATTAACAACTCAACTTAGTTAACTGAATTTATTTTAGGTACAGATTTTTTTTTTTTTTTTTAACAATCATTAATTATTTATACAACATCCTGCGATAATGTGATAATATTAAAGTTTTCGAAGWATTAAACAATCGGCGTATCGCGCTTCGCGCATTCCGGCCTTGGATCACGTTTTCGGTGCTATAATAAGAGCTGCGGTGCACGTTTCCGTGTCTCATTGCGTTTTGCGTTCTATCATAAATCATAATATATCGGCAGCCGCATGTTTAATGTTATATCGCGCGTATAGTCCGTCCTTCTTCACCCACCCAACCACTACCCAGTCACCCATCGGCCCATCCGCTTCCCACAAACAAGATACAAAGACATGGACGGCCACCACGCGCCCACGCCGTCGAACGATTTTCAGACTGCAGGCCGATTACGATCAGTGGCGTATTTTTTTTTTTTTTTTTTTTTGGGGGGGGGGGGGTGTCCTCCATGTCTTGACACCCCCCGACATTTTAAAAAAAGTCCTAATATATTGTCACTTATTTTATAGTATACCATTTTTATCAAATGTAAGACTTCTTGTCAATTCCTAACATATTAATTTGTTAAAAAATTAATTCAATATCTTTTTATATTAGTAAATAATAGGTACTAAAAATTTTGTTTTTGAGGTTCAATAAATGTCGACACCCCCCGAGAAATCAACCAAAATACGCCACTGATTACGATGATAATAATAATAATATAATAATCACGTTTTCACTAAAGACTAGGTACTTAAAAACATTGAAAAATAATTCTGCGTAAATGTTTGTTGGCTATGTTGAGGGTGGGTCAGAGAGAGAGAAAGCAAATAATAGTGCGCTGACATCCTCTTAATATCTTAATTCGTGATCATAATTCATACCACGAGAATCGACCTTGTGCACGGTCGCGGCACAATAATAATGATTCTTGTCGTAAGTACTCTTATAAGTACCAAGTCACAACATAAATAATTATTTTGTTTTTTCTCCATTATTATCAATATTATTATTTTATATTATACATTTATACTGTTTTTTTTTATTTTGTTTCGTAATAAATATTTATTTTTCTTCGTACGCGCGCATTTCATCATCATCGTGACAAAAATTAAAACAAATTACAAAACATGTTATTCCGTTGTGCGCGCGCAGCATTTGAATAATAATAACAACGACGACGATACCAGCTTGCCACATATAGCGAGTATCCGCGCGAGTGCGCGACGGCGACCGAGTTGGTAATTGGTATTCGGTAGTTTAGTTTCGGTCGACTCTCGGACTTCTCGGAGGTCTCGAACTCTCGGCTGTCTTGACTAGTCGAAGATTGAACTGGTTGAAGTCGTCTGTCTCGACTCTTACTTGTCAGTCCGCTACTGTCCGGTGTCCAGTTCTCGAACGGCGACCTGTGAGTGCAGTCGACAGTTGATGCTTGCACGCGGAAATCGATATGGACGAACGCGACGAGCTGGTGACGGACGCCGGAGGGATCGACGTGCAGTTTTCGGACGTGTCGTACTCGGTAACCGTCTGGACGCCGGGCAGGATATTCAGTCCTGGTAGGTGCACGCACGAATAATACGATAGGTACAAATAATATTCTGATCGAAGGTCAACTCGAATAATATATAATATAAGAACCWCTGCGGTTGTTGTATACCTATCGTAATTTTATTATGATTCGCGGGTAATGCCGTGGACCGCGGTGTAGGATAATATCCATAGATTTCCGGAGATTATCCGGATACGATGCTGTTGTTGCGGTATTTACCGGCCGATGCGATGGTCACTACTTCATTAGAAACATATTTTTCAAGGCGGCATATTGACATCAACAACGGTACCTATTGGCCAACGATATCCCAAGGTCTCTCTGTCTTCTGGATTATGTCGTCTAAAACTGTACAATATTTAATTATATTTTAATCACAATAATTTGTTGCATATTATGGTATGCATAACAATAATTGCATTTAATTACACCCCGATAATTCTAGGTGATGAACAATGAAATCACGTAGTATATAATTATTCAGTTATTAAAAATAATAATCAATTATTTTTTAATCTGACCAATTTTAGCTTTACTGCGTTTTGCAATATTCCGACRGTAATTTAAATTATTTTCTGTAAAAAAAAATGGAGGGTTGTGTCATCCCCCAATGCTAGACATTATTGACTTAAGTATATAGTTATTTTCTCAATTTTTTCTCCATGTTTTGATGTTTGTATATAACATTATCTATACTTTGTCTGTCAATCATAGTTTGAATATCAGATGTCAACATCTTGAGAAATTAAATAAACATTWAATCAATTTCTGTGTTTGTTTCAGAAAAAAAGCSGATTTTAAGAAATGTCAGCGGCACATTCTACAAGAAACAAGCATGTGCCATAATTGGATGTTCTGGATCTGGCAAGTCTTCGCTGTTGAATTTTATCTCCGGTTATAAGTATGTTAAGACGAATCTGTTATATTTTATTTTATTAGTAGTATTACATTATTTTTTTCATATATTTAAATTTGTACATAGGACATGTGGCTACAAAGGAGATGTAATTATTAACGGACAGCCTCGCAATCGAAAACATTTCATGAAACAATTGAGTTATATAATGCAAGAAGATAACTTACAACCTCACCTTACTGTATTAGAATCAATGGAAATAGCCTCAAAACTTAGAAACTGTACTGTACAACTTGATGTCTACCACAAAATCTTAGTAAGAAATTAAAATTAGTATTTATTTGTCTGTGTAAATATTACAACTTTACCTAACTAATGAAAAACTAAAATCGGTACCTATTTAATAATTTAAACAATGAAATTAGAAATAGAAAAATGTTCATATATCTAACAAGGTAGAATAAGATTTTGAAGTTCACAATATCAATAAATAAGAATTAAAATATAAAATTGTGATTTTAGGTTATTAAAGTTAAAACTTATTTAAGTACTTAATTTGTTTTTTATAGAACAATTAAAAAGTTATATTTAGGTTAAGGAAAAATTTTCTATTTCACTTGAGTGTTAGTACTTAATTTTTTTTCAGATTAAAAGAATATTGGATAATTTGAAGTTGTCAGAAAAAGAAAACACATTGGCAGGACATTTATCTGGGGGCGAGCGTCGACGACTGTCTATTGCTGTAGAATTAATACGTAATCCAAAAGTGATGTTTTTTGATGAACCAACTACGTAAATACTAGTATATACATTATTATTAATATATGTAAATTAAAATATACWTTACTTTGTTAGAGGTTTAGATGTGGTATCTGCAAATTATGTGGTATCTATGCTAAGAGACCTAGCCAATTGTGGTAAAACAATTATATGCACTATACATCAGGCATCTTCTTCCCAATTGGAAATGTTTAATGCTTTATACATACTATCACCCACGGGTCAGTGCATTTACCGTGGACAGTCATCAAGTCTTATTAATTATTTGTCATCTGTTGGTCTCCAATGTCCCTTACATCATAATCCTGCAGATTTCGGTATGTTAAATTTTCTTGKTTTAGTATATCTTACCATGTACAACAATATTATTAACAGTATTTTTTATTTTTTAACTAGTCATTGAAGTGAKTTCTGGAGAATATGGCGATCACAACGAAATACTTGTCAAGTATATTAATAATGGAAAATCAAATGACTGGAATAATGAAAAAAGTATTGAAAACAGTGAGTGAAAAAATATTGTAGGTATTATTAATTTACATATATTAATATTAATAATGTATATTTTATGTATAGCAGATGTTCAAATGCAATACCACCGGTCTAATTATTCTCAACATAAATGCATCTTAAAATTTTTCAATGAACTACGAATACTTATTAGTAGAACATTAATCATCTCATCTAGAGACAGTGTTTGTATTTTACATCTTTAATAAGAGGTATTCTAGTCAAAATGACTAAAGAATAAATCAAATTGTTACATTGTTGTATTAATTTCATAATATATGTATTTTGATTGATGTCTCTATAGGTACCTGCATAATATTATATACATCATAGACAATCGTATTAAATCATATTTGTTTCTCATATTTTTTATAGGACTTCATCAGAGTAAGAATAATTGTACCTCTTTTAATGAGTTTACTGTTTGGTTCTGTATATTTAAATATTGGCAAAAGTGGTTCCTTCACACGGGATAATGTAATAATGTTATACTTCAGTATGATGGCCATTGTTTACTTATCTGCCTACTCAATGTCAATTAAATGTGAGTTATTTTACTTGATAGTGCATAAACAATACAATTTTCCGTGTATAATAATATAATATTATTTTAGTTCCAATGGAATTGTTACTTATGAGGTTAGAATATTTCAACCAATGGTATTCACTTCGTTCATATTACACGTGTGTGACGTTAATGGATCTACCTTTACAGGTTTGTAATTCATTATTTTATTTATATTAATTATTAGAGTAAAATGTTGTACTATTATAGATTTTAACAACAAATTTAATTTGAAAAGGCAATGAACTGGCAATCTGTATATTTTATCATAATTTACATCGTCATTTACATACTGCATACTTATAATAATTAGTTTTGTTGAATAGATAATTGGTATTTATTACTTAAAGTCTATCCTGTAACATTTTTTTTTTTTTTTTTTTAAATTTTGTATGAACATTTAATTACTCTTTATCATAATTAAAATGTAATACATTAAACATAAAAAAAAAATAATAATAACAAAATTAGTGTTTAGTAAGAAAAAACAAATTTAAAACAATCACAATCACGTCATTATTTTTTAAACAATAATTATTGTAATAGGTAGTGTATAATTACATAATATTCAAGTATTTTATATTTCACAAGAATTATCATAATAGGCTATTGAATAAAACACAGAAACCTTTACCAAGTTTACCCAACTTTAAAAAACTAATATTAAAAATTAATTAATTTTAATTATTGATTTTAGTCAATTGAAGAATTTAAGTATATCTCAAAGAGAATCATCTTAAAACATCAAAATATTATCAATTTTAAAAATTTTATTCAAAGTGTACAAATGCAGTTTAAATACATTATATCATTCATTTTATTTTTATTAATAGTTGCTACAATGCTACTGTAGGAAAATAACAATCATTACAAAGTTCCTTCAGTCTTAGCACCAAAGCATTTTATTGCAAACACATTAAATATTAAGCATTCCTAAAAAAAAAGAAATTTAGTGCTGAAAATTTGGTATCTTTATAGATTATAAAACATATTTTTTATTTATTTTAGATTATTTCCACGGGATTATTTTGTATCGTGATTTATTTAATGACTGGACAACCATTTGAATTATTCAGATTTTTAATGGTTTTTTTAATGTTAATTGTAACTGGTTTGATGTCTCAAGCAACAGGCATGTTAGTCGCAGTTTTGTTCAAGAATTTTCTTGTAAGTTAACTTTTATATTATTAATCAACATTTAAAATAAATCCATAAATAATTATGTACACCATTTTGATTGTAGATAAATACTATTGTTATATCTTCAATTATCTTACCAATGACAATATTTGCGGGCATTATGTTACGTATCAATGACACACCAAAATTATATAGTTGGATTTATGATGTTTCTATGTTGAAACATTCAATGCAAGGTATTTTACATGCTATTTATGGTTTCAAAAGATCTGCATTGCCTTGTCCAGAAGTAAGTCAAAAATTCATAAATTTAGTAATTGTTTTTTTTTTCTTAAATTTATCAAAGCATTGAAATGAATGAATAAATCTAAAGGATTCTGCACCGATAATAACTTTCTATTAGTTATGTATGCAATGCGCATTGTGCAATATAATATTATGTACACTAATAAATTCTAAAACYGGATAAGATTTTAAAGTTAAACATCTATAAAAATTGAATTAAATTTAATGATCAGTATTCAGTTTTTTTTTCATTGAAAGGTCAATTGTTTAATATATACATTTAATTTTTTTTCAATTGACTCTTTTTAAAAACACTGATGCACGCAAACTTTAAATTTATTATGTATTGCATATTTTATTTCTATAACAGTTGATGATCATCAATATGTTTTAAACTTTATTCTATGATAAACAGCAGTAAACTTTGCTATTGAATCCTTATAATCCAGCAATAGTTCAATGTGTTACACAACTGACTGTTATTTTTGTTTCAAAAAATCTAAAATATTTGTTTCATTGCAATTATTAAAATGTAATTTTGTCCGAACTGAATTAAGTTTTATATTGTTAGTATAACATAGTTTTATTTTGTCATGCATTTAGGATAAAGTATAGACCTAAGTTTTAATTTTAGAAAAATAATTTTTTTTGTAGATTTATTGTTATAATGGCTCACCAGAATTAGTTCTCAAAGATGTAAGTATGAGTGATAATATGTTTTGGACTAGCATCGGATACATCACAGCTGTATTTTTATTCCTTAAAATTTGTACTTATGTTATTTTAAAACATAAACTTTCCTGAAAAAAATAATTTTTTATGTTTTATGACTAATATTTGTTACTAGTTACTAGTCAGTGTTGGTATAGTTAAAAAATCTATTTGTTTGCATAAAATATATTTTTATAGTTATATAATTGCATATCTTCTGTCAAGTCAGATGATTAAAATTAAAATACAGTATTTATAATTTTATATTTACTAAGACTGTTGTAAGCACAGCTATAGCTTATAGATTATCTATTACAGTAAATGTTCACATGTCTTTAAAAATAATTTAGTTCCCTTATTATAGCTTCTCTCTCTAACAATATTCTTACTGTTCAACTGTTATGGTTTATAAGATAAATATTATTATGTGTTTTAAGTTAAATTGGTATGTAGTATGACATAGATAACCCAAATATTTTTGACTAAAAATAATGGTTGTTGGGTAAATAATCGATTTGAAGACTTTATTTTATTATGTTTTCTTTAATATTATAATAGATTTTATGTACAAATGTATTGCTAAATTGACATTATTCTATAATTAATGGATAAAATTTAATGATTTAAAATGTATGATGCGCATACAGACCATTTGTGAAATSCAGCACTCTCCTCATTTACAAAACAACAGAATTTGATTGACCCACCTATCAAATTTACTTCTAGCAAACTTTAATTCTTAGTAGAGAACTAAAATTTCCAGACAATTCAATGCTCTAGTATTTTTCTCAAAATTTTYCAATAAATAATTAATTAAAATGAGGTCTAAAATCAAAACTATAATCTCTTATTGGCTATTTTTTATTTAGGATCATCGTTTTGCTGTATAGCCTACAGATATATAGGAATCACGTTCAGACCAAATGTCAATATAGTTTACATGTGTATAAAATAAATAAAATGTTGCATGTGAAAATTACCAATATCAAAACCTAAACTAATGTTTCAGGTGATTTTGTTTGATCTGAATGCAATTTAAAACTATAAAATTTTTTTTTTATTATATTAGATTTTTAGTCATTAATTATTATTATTATACTATTATAGTTTTTCTCCGTTAATTGAAATGAATGTTTAAAAATAATTTTTCTTTTTCTTTTTTTAATTTTTAATTTTTAATTGTTATCTATGTCTATATCTGTCTAATTAGTATCCAGAACCCACTTCATTGTAACATGAAATCTCTTGATTTCTGATCTCAAAACCAACGAATTTATTAACATGTATGATGTATTTAACCATATTATTCCATAATATATATTGTTTTGCTCAAATGAAAACTACTACTGTCTTTTTTACTGTTTGAATTGCTTAAAAATTA